ATATGGTACTTTCATTTTTTTAGGAATCTCCATACCATTTTCCATAGAGTGTTCCTTTTCTTCCACACACACCCCCAACCCTTACTGTGTCTGATCTGTTTTATATGGGTCATCCTCAAGGTGTGAGGTGGTATCCCCTTGTGGTTTTAAGTCACATTATCTCTTAATAAAAATTGATGTTGAGCATTTTTTGTGTGCCTGTGGGCCATCTATATGTCTTCTTTGAAGAAGTGTCTACTTAGGTCACTTGCCCATTTTTTTGATTGGGCTGTACTTTTTGCTCTGGAGTTGTATGAGCTCTCTATATATTTTGGAAATTAACCCTTTGTCAGAAATATGATGTGCAAATGTCTTCTCCCAGATCATAGTTTGCCTTTTGTGTGTATGTTGGTTTCTTGCATGGTCCACCTAGGCTACTTCTGTGTCTTGGTTACTATAAATAGTGATGCTAAAAAAGCAGGGGTGGGAGCAGATATCTTTTTTAAGATTTATTTATTTATGCATACAAGAGCTGGCCAGAGGTGCTGGAGGGTGAGCGGATTCACCAGAGACAGAATGGGGAGCAGAACAGGCAGATCCACTGAAATACACTGCTGAGGGTGAGACAGGAGAGGTCTGCTGTGCCATGTGGGTTAGCAACCTGACCAGGCATCGAACTTGTGCTGCAGTGGCTGCAGATAGCTTCACAGTGCTGTGTTCAACCCCTTGCATCACCAGGGGCACCACCAAGGAGGCCCCCAGGGTGCAGATATTTTTTCAAATTAGAGGCGTCATTTCCTCTTGATAAGTCCCCAGAAGTAGAATTGCTTAATTATATGGTGTAGGGGCAGGAAGGGCACTGAGCAGTTTTCTGATCCGGCAGACTGGTAAAGGAGGAGACCTGGAGCCCTCGGTGGGTTTTTTGGGCTGTTATTGAGCTTTACATGTAGTGCAGCAACCAGGTACATGGCAGGCCAGGAGGCCTCTAAGCCCCCAGCAAGTCTTCACTCTGGGCTTCTCTGGCTTCTCTCTCCCGCTGCTTCTCCCGCTGCTTCTGGTGACTATCTCAATACCCCTCCCATGGCCCACAGAAGTAAACAAGATAGTTTGCAACAATGTAACTACTGCAGGTGCCCCATCTGGCAGGGCAATCCTAATGGTGGGAGGGCAGAAAAGCCTGAAAAACCATTTCCCCTACATATGGTAATTCTATTTTTAATTTTTGGCAGGTTCTCCATACTGTTTTCCATAATAATGCCAGCAATTCACATTGGGACCCCTTTTTAAAACTGTCAACTACATTAAAATTCCAAATGCTCCCACAAAGTACTACTTACTTGTTCCAAACCTTTGTGACTTTAACTCCAACTTTTCCTCCATAAAAGCTTGTTTGTGTTGGACCTCCCCGGTGGCGCAGCGGTTGAGCGCTGGGTTACGAAGCTGCCCGCAGCCTCTGCGGTGCCAGTTCGATCCCCCGCTGCTCCCCGGCCTCCGGAGGAGGGTCCCACATGGCGCGCAGACCTCTCCTGCCGCCCGCTGCTCCCCTCAGCAGTGTACTTCGGTCCTTCTGCCTGCTCTGCTCCCTGCTCTGGCTCTGGTGAATTCTCTCACCCTCCCGCGCTTCTGACTGTACCCAGTGCATGTATAAACAAAACAATAAATAAATAAATAAATAGATAGATAGATAGATAAATAAATAAATAAATAAAGCATGCCTCAAGGGGGGGAAAAAAAAAAGCTTGTTTGTGTGGTATGATGTATTTTGGATGACAGACCCTACCAGAGAAAGTTATGACACCTCTGTCTTATAGTTAATCTTTTAAAGGTCATAGGGGTCACCAGACTATCAGTTATAGGCTTTGAACCAGCATGGCATCAAAGGTCCTTGCAGTTTCTTAATGATGTAACTAAAATTTAGCATTGGTATATATTCCACATCTTCAGATGATGATAAGACCTATAAGGGAAAAATATGGGCTAAAGAGATAGAATAAGGTAGCACTTTGGCAATGAAGGAAGACCTCTCCAAGAAAGTTCCATTTCAGCTGACTCCTAAAAGGTGGGACTGGGCCACAACAGAGCTGGGAAAATAGCATCTCAAACATAGGGAGGGGCAAGTTCAAAGGCCCTTAGGAGAGGAAAGAATAGGCATATTCAGAGATTAGAATGGAGTCCAGGGTGAGGGAGGAGGATAAACTGGAAAGGAGGCTCAGTGGAGCAGAGTCCCTGAGACTGGGAAAGGAGACAACACCTGTAGAAGGACATTGTTTTGAGACATTAATAGAGGCGCCCCTCATTCTCTCACCTCTGTGCAGCTGGGTGACACCCAACTCTCAGAAGCAATGACTTCCTATCTGCATGGGGAACCTCCCTTTATCTGTAAGGGGGTTGAGGGTAGGGACTAATACAATGAGCACAAATAATAGAATTGTCTTTGAATTTCAAGACACATTTCTTAAAACTCATCGCAGAAATAATAGTCTTTTTTTAAAGATTTATTTATGCATACAAGAATGGGGGTACAAGCCAGAGGTGCAGGGGGTGAGAGGATTCACCAGAGACAGAGTGGGGAACAGAACAGGCAGAGTGACTGAAATACACTGCTGAGGGGAGCAACTGGCAAGTCAGGAGAGGACTGTTGCACCATGTGGGTCAGCTCCCTGCCCGGGGATCGAATTCATGCTGTAGTGGCTGCGGTTAGCAAAAGACAAGATGCTCTAAGAGCCAAGCTTTCTAACAGAAAAAGTAATAATAGCCAGATTATTAAGCATGTGCTGCATACCAGAAACAGCTGTAAATACTTCGAATCTAGTCCTTGAGACTAGTCTGAGTCAGGTTCTGCTATTCTCTCCAGCCATGCATGGCGTAACACATTTCAGAAACAAACATACAGCCTAGAAACACTACATGACATGCACCTCAAAGACATCTTTACAGACACAACGCCCAATCCAGTGATAGTGAAGGCAAAGATAAACAGCTGGGACTACATTAAACTAAAGAGCTTCTGCACAGCAAAAGAGACAATAACAAAAACAAAGAGAAACCCCACCAACTGGGAGAACATTTTTGCACACAACACTAATGATAAAGGACTGATCACAAAAATCTACAAAGAGCTAACGAGACTCAACAAAAACAAAGAAAATAATCCCGTCAAAAAATGGGCAGAAGAGCTAAAAAGAAACTTCTCCAAAGAGGAAATACGAATGGCTAATAAGCATATGAAAACGTGTTCAACATCACTTGCAATCAGGGAAATGCAAATCAAAACTACCATGAGATACCATCTCACACCAGTGAGAATGGCACATATTAAAAAAACTAGCAACAACAAATGTTGGCCAAGATGTGGAGAAAAATGAATTCTCCTGCACTGTTGGTGGGAGTGCAAACTGGTCCAACCACTATGGAAAGCTGTGTGGAGATTCCTCAGCCTGCTAAAGATGGAGCTTCCATATGATCCAGCAATTCCACTCCTAGGTATTTACCCAAAGGACACAGAAACATTAATTCCAAAGAGCACCTGCAACCCTATGTTTATAGCAGCACAATTTATAATAGCTAAGCTTTGGAAACAACCCAAATGCCCAAAAATAGATGACTGGATCAAGAAGATGTGGTACATATACACCATGGAATATTACTCAGCATTCAAAAAAGATAAACACATGCAATTTGCAGTAACATGGATGGAGCTGGAAGGGATCATGCTCAGCAAAATAAGCCAGAAAGAAAAAGAAAAATACCAGATGGTCTCACTCATATCAGGAATCTAGAAAACCTAAATAAGGGACCAGGAAAAAGAATAGCTATAAGAAAGAAAAAATCAAAATCAACAAACAACTGTGAACCAGAGACACTCTATGGGGGTGGGGGGGGGGGGAAAGAAGCGATTGGGGTAAAAATAAGGGGGTTACAATTGTATTGGGAATATAAAAATAAAATTAAACAAAAAACAAACATACAATCTAAGTGTGTAGGAGAGAATACCTAGTTTGTGTAATTACATTCTATAAGATTACAGTGATGAATTCACCTAAAGATGAATTTCTCAGAACATGTCCCTGTGCTTAAGCAAGCCAGGACTATATACAGCTGAGGAAACACAGTCACAGGGAGGAAAATTAATTTGTTCAAGTCATGCAACAGAGCAGATACTTAAACACAAGCAATCTCACCCCACAGCATGTGATGGGGATGGAGAGGAAAGGGGCTATGATTTTTGCTCCCAAACACCTGGTTTTGAAAACAGATGGCCCTGCCCCCAACCCACTCAAAATGGGCCAGGGGGAACCTGTGATTGGGAATGGAGGAAAAACTGGTGGTGAAAGAATACAAGGTGAGCTACAGACACACACTCTGTGAGTGGGTGGGCACACAATGGGGCACAGCCAGTATTTGTTGACCAGGTTTCCTGGACCACAGGGGATGGGGAGGCCAGAGAAGGAAAGAGAAAGGACTCTGAGGGCAGAGGAAGAAGCTTGTTCACTGGGAGGTACAGATGTGGAGGTGGGGCTGGTGACAAGAGCAGGGAAGAACTAGCCTGTGTTTTATGCTGGCCAGGGACCTCTGTTTTGGGAGATCCTCACAACCTAAAAGAATGGATTTGCCTGTATGGCTTCTCCTCCCTGACTCACAGCCTCAGATGTGCCCCTTAAGCCTGTCCTTGACCTTGGCCCCTTTCCTATTCAAGTACCCCCAATGCTCCTTATTGCTCACAGGATGAAATTCGCAGTTGGGCTCAGAGAACCCCTGATCAGCACGGGAACCCTGTGTTCATCATTCTAAGGCTCTTAGACTTATAGACACCAGCCCCACCCCTCTATGTCCACTCCCCTGCCCTCCCATCCCCCTCCCCACACACCCACACCCACTCACCCACCCACACACACACACACAGGTCCCATCCCCAGCTGGCTCTTGGTGAGGCCGGGACAGGACTGCCAGCACAGTTTTATTCTTGGGAATCTACAGAGAAGTGTGTAAGGTCAGCGCGGATCCCAGGCTAGGCAGCGGGGAGTCACTGCGGGTCCTCGCTTAGGGGCTCCAAGCGCAGCCAAAGTCCACCCTCTGCGCGCAGGATCAGCTCCGGCTTCCTGCGCGGCTCCTGCTCGTCTGGCAGCACGCGGAAGCGCAGCAAGGTGAGCGCCAGGACCACCTTCATCTCGGTCATGGCGAACGTCTGCCCGATGCAGTTCCTGCGGGAGGGATGGGTCTCTGACTACACCTGGGAACACCCATCCCCATCCCAAAGCATGAGAATCTGACCCAGACTCCCCCGCGGCCCACAGGGATAGGGAAGGGAGCTAACGCCGTGGTCCCTCCACGTGGGCTTCCAGCTCCCCTGAGCCTGGCCCGACGCCAGCCCCAATACACAGAGGAAGGCACTCTGAGACCACTAGGACCCATCCAACCGCCATTCTCCCCAAGAATGGAGACCCTCTTGGGGAAGGAGGGGGACCCAGAAGTCAGACCATCCTCAACTGTCCCTCTTTCCCACTCTGCAGTCACGCCTGAGAGATAATCCCAGACCCCTCCCCTATCCTTGCCTGTGATGCCCGCTGCCCTCACCTGGGTCCCGCGGAAAAGGGAATAAAAGCCAGTGGTGATCTCTCCTTGATGTTTTCTGTGTCAAAGCGGAAGGGATCATACACCTAGGGGCAGGCCAAGACAAGGATGATGGGTGGGGTCTTCGGGACAGTCTTGGAGAGACCGAAGTGCGCAAGGTAGAGAGAGGGGATTTCTGATTTGCCAAGTCCCAACCCTGCCCTCTACCCCTTGTCCCCTGGAGCCAACAAGGATGGGAAGAGGCAGTACCTCAGGGTCTGGCCACACGGACGGGTTGTGGTGGGTCCCAAAAATACTAATGAGGCAGATGATACCTGTGGGAGAGCAGGAGGTCAGTTAGGATGAAGCCCCCCCACCCCTGCCTGATGAACCCCTCCTCCTGCCCTTAAGTCTCCTCCCCCTGACATGGGCACCTTTGGGGATGACACGGCCATCTGGGAGGACAATGTCCTGGGTGCAGCAGCGGGAGATGACCGTGACCGGGGGGTGCAAGCGCAGACTCTCCTTGATGCACATGGTCAGGAAGGGCAAGTGGGCCAGGTCGTCCCTAAGGAATCCCCACAACACAGTCATCTAGGGAGCGAGCACTGAGACCCCAGCCCTCCTGTTGCCCTGGTAAGAGCCTCTCTCCCTATAACAAAAATGCAAATGTATCAAATATCGCCTAACTCATCAAGTTACATACATTAAATATGTACAATTTTTTGCATGTCAATCATAGCTCAATAAAGTGAGTATAGGCAAAGAAAGAAAGAAAAGAAATAGCACAGAAGTACCAGAGACATTTTAACTGGGTATTTTTAGAAGATGCCTGAGCAAAAACAACACCCAAAGCCAACCATAAAAAGATTTGCAAATTTTCCAAAAATAAAATACTCCAATGGCAAGAGAGCAAAATCAAAAGGGAAATGAATAAGAAACAAAATAAACAAATCCAACTGTTTACTTATTTATCCTGATAATAGAGACACTAGATAATGAAATTGGACAAAGGAAAAAAGATGGTATGTAATGCAATTGGAAATGTGGGAGCAAATATGTCATTTGGGGCAGATGGTGGTTTTCTACTTAGAAAATACAAAAGAATCCACAGAAAAAGGTTTATGAATATTGATGATTTAGTAAAATTCTTTTTCTTTAATCCCCTTATTGTTGTGTGGCGTTTTAAATATTTAATAACTAATATAGTTAACTGGTTCAAAATTGAGAAACTTTAAAACACTCATTCCCCCTCCTCATACTTATTTTGTGACTTTTTAGGCACCCATCCAATAAAGTACACATATAGCTCTGATAGTCAGTAGGTATTTGGGTACAGTTGGGATCTGACTATCAGAGTCATCTGAGGCATATTCTCCACACTTGGCCCTGTCTCTCTTACTCTTACATGGTCCGGGAGTTTCATGACCTGAAACTCTTCTGCCATTAGGTTGGGAACTCTTGAAAGGCAAAGGATGGGCCTGGGTCCTTCCCAACGCTCTAGAACACAGAATGAGTCTGGGAAGAACTGGAGGTGGGAAGACCAGTGTGGTTATGTTTGCTGAGTGGGGAGTAAACAGATGAAGACAGGTGTTGATGAACAAGAGTTGAATGACTTTAAGCTCAGATGTACCCTGTGAATCCTGAACTGAATTGTTTGGTAGGAATTAGGCAGGAGAAGAGCGTGTTTGAAAAAAAATGTGATTTCAGAGAGAAAGGCAAGTCAGTGGGATGGAAGTTTGCTTATTGAAAATGTGCTGCATGGCATCTGCCCTCACAAGTTGTTACTGGTTCTCTCAGCAGCCTGGATCTTTCTGTCCCAAAACTGCAACCTTTGCCCTGCTATCCAGGCCTGGTGCCAGACCCTGACCCTGGGCTCTGTTCCTGCTCCCACTGAGCAATAATGACAGAATCCATTGAACGATCTCCCCCTGCCCCAGCTAGGAAGCAAAGCCAGTGAGAGGGGTTCAGGAGTGCCCTGAGCCTACACTCACCATTCAATCTCCTTAGTCTCACGATCCCTCAGGAGCATCTGCACCTCCTGCCGGCAGCGCTCCTGGTATTCTGGGTGCTTTGCAAGGTTGTACAGGACCCAGGAAAGGCCGCTGGCTGTGGTGTCATGGCCTGAAGGACAGCCAAGTAAGCTTGGGTCTCTGGAATGCTTCAGCATCTCCCTTACATTAAGTCCCATGAGGAGGTTGGGGAGAATGGGGCAGTAGAGGATGGTCCAGGGCCCACCCCACACATCCCTGGATTAGAGAAAGCCTGTGCCCTATCTGCAGTCCCACACTAGAACCCTCACCCTCAAACATGAAGGTGTCCGCCTCTGCTCGGATGTCCTCATCTGACAGTACATTCCCATCTTCATCCTGGAGAGGAAACAAAATCCCTCAAATCACACCAGCTCTGAGGGTATCTGACCCTAACCTGAGACAAATTCAGAGGCTCCATCATCCATCCAGAAATTTCACCTCACTCTGCTCTCCTAGACATCTCTTCTGCACTGTCACCAGGGAACTCACCCCTCAAGCTTCTGTTTTGTTCCTGATATGCAGAATCAACGATCCATTAGTATTTTCATGCATCTACGTGATGGAGGCTTACTGAGAAAAGTTAGTGGCAGCCTGCATTACAGGATGATTGAATGGCAACTTTCCCTGGAAGTTAGAGATTGAGAATTGCTCCAATGTCATTTGCTCATATTCTATGGTAGCAAATTCAGAGCTTCCTTATCTTTGCAGATAAGGGGTGGATTTGAAACTACAGAACCTATAGGCTTTGTCTTCTCACTGAAGAGTTTACAGAAGAACAATCTCTCTCTCTTTCTCTCCACTCCCTCACAGGGAAAGGTTCAGAGGTGTCTTACATAAGTCCCAAGATTAATAATGGTGAGATAAGATACTGCTCCTGTGAGACAGATGTGGCTGCATGTGCAGGTTAAAGTTAACTCAGAGGAATTTTGAGTGGGAAACTAGAGCTGTAACTCTACTCTGTCTACTTCTGTGAGTAATAAATGGAAATAGATGATTGATTGACTAATTGACAACCGATACATAGATTGATAGATATTAACATGTTTACTTGGAAATGTAGTAAAACCTCCGGTCCTTCATAATTTCAGACTTAGAAGTCCCCTTCAGGCTGCATTCAATAGTTCCTCCAAAATTTATCCCTAAATCATCCCTCCTTTCCTCAAGCACCTTTCATGGCTCCCCAGTGCCAGTAGCATCAAGTTCAATTTCTTGGATCCAATATATGAAATCAACATCTAGTTTACCTCTTGAATTCAGATCCTACCTTGGTCAACAGGAGCACATCGATGAAGTCTAATGTTTTGGCTTTCGCCTTAGCCCTGAGAAAGTCATCAACACCCTGAGTGGGGAGAGTACGGCGCCGCTCCTGGATGACAGCATCTGTGAAGTCATGCACCAGGCGGCAGGCCCTGCGGAAGCGCTGCCCATCGGGAGTGAGATAGTACAGAAAGTCCACATGCAGCAAGATCTGTTGGTGCCGTTTTGCCACAAGGGCGCTGAGCTCCAAGATGGCAGCAATATATTCACTGGGCTTCCTACAGGATGAGATCATGAAGGAGGCTACACTTTACCTCACCTGAGTTGGAGGAGAACCTTTCAACAGGAGCTTCCTCCCTTCAGGAAACTGAGTATCTGGCAACAGATGGTTTCACAGATGCAGAGAGAAGATGGGCCAGAAGATGTGACTCTAGGATTTCTCTCTCCCTGCACCCCCTCTCTGTGAGCTGCCTCCATGTCCCACCCAAAGCTTAGCTTGGGCATCATACTCTTATCTCTCTGCACAGTTTCCAGTCCTGCCCCTTTTCCTTCCCAAGACTGTCCGCATAATTCAGATTCTCCAACTGGTCCATGGGTCCAACCCCTCCCCTCGTCTCCTTGAATCCAATGTCAACACTATCAAATGTCTATAAGACAGTCTTCCCTTGAGTGAAAAGTCCAGACTCAGCTTTGACCACAACCTGCATCGGCTCAAACATTTTCCATGGCTCCCTGAAAGCCTCAGGATAAAGTTCCTACCCCTCTGTCTGACTTTTGAAGGTTCTTAGATATAGCTCCTACCTATTCCTCCAACTCTATATATTTCAACTTATTTCCTAGATATCTCCTCACTGCTCCCCTGCTTAGTTCATTTAACCTTCTGGTCATTGTCAAACATTTCTACCTGAAAGAATCACTTTTCTCCTTTTCCTTCCTTGTCTTCAAGCTCCAGCTCTGGCCCACCTCCTCCAGAAAGCCTCTTCTGATTGCCCTAGTCAGTCCTTCCTTCCCCATCTATCCCCTTGAATCTGTGGCTCATGTTCCCAGGCCCTGGACAAGGACTCACTCTTGACAATTGCTGTCAAAACTGAAGACACATTTCTGCAGACTGTCCAAGGTCATAAGGCTGATGTGTTCAAACATGTCCAAACGGGTGCAGCCCTCTGAGGCTAGCTTCTTCCATTTGGCCTGGACAGAGAAGGAAGCAGAAATGAAGCAGGGGCCTTCATTCTGTGATGACCTTCATTCTTGGAGACCAGCCTCCTGGTCTCCAAGACCCATCCACAGACTTTAGTGGAACTGAAAGCTGTTACTTTTTGTATATGAAAACCCCATGACTGGGAATCAGAAGATCTGCGTTCAGTCCTGGCTCTGCCTCTTCCAGTGTGCTCTTGTTCAACTCATTGCCTTCCTACTAAATCTCCATTAACAGTTCAGATGTTCTGCTTTGGGCCTCCCTAGTGGTATAAGGGGTTAAGCACCGCACTATGAAGCAATCTGCAGCCTCTGCAGCACAAGTTCGATCCCCGTCCGGCCAGGGAGCAACCCAATGGTACAGTAGACCTCTCCTGTCTCACCCACTGCTCCCCACAGCAGTGTATTTCAGTCAGTCTGCCTGTTCTGTTCCCCACTCTGTCTCTGGTGAATCCTCTCACCCCCCGCATCTCTGGCCCGTACCCCAGCTGTTGTATGCATAAATAAATAAATCTTTAAAAAAAAAAAAAAAAAGACGTTCTGTTTTGGTGTTGGATGAACCAGGTTGGAATCCCAGTGATTGTTAGGTCACTTGGTAGCATCTTTCCCAAAATGGAAAGATGCTCAGATGCTGAGGGAGCCACCTGCTCACCCAAGGGAGATGGCTTCATGCCCCTCATCCAGCAAGTCAAAATCTTTGGCTTCTCCACACAGGCTTCTGGGAGGGAAGAAGAAACTAGCACTTTCTGCGCACCCACTGTGTGCCAGGGACATGGCTCCATTATGTCATCCTAACTACCCTGCGGAGGGGGTATTCATATTCCCATTTCATCTGGGGAAACCAAGTTTCACAAAGGAAGAGCAATAGTCCCAAAGCCACTAGAAGAGTCAGAATTCCAGACAAGATGTCTTTGAGCCCCCATCATCCCTGAAGCTCCAGCTGGGACTGTGGGCTCAAGAGACTCACATGCATGACATTCACGCTGTCATTGAAGATCTTCACGTAGGGCTTCAAGATGTTGAAATGGAAGGCAGGTGTCAGCAGGCGGCGGTGGTGACCCCACTTGTCACCAGCACTTAGCAAGAGCCCTTCCCCTAGTAAAGGCAAATACATAGAATGGGCAAGGGCAGTGCCCTCCCCCGTACCCTCCACCCAAGATTGTCTCCAAACCCCTTACTCGCAGTTACTCACCCAGCCAAGGCTTCAGAAAGTGGTAGAAGAGCACATCCTTGGGGGCGATGTCCGCTGACATGAATGAAAACCATCAGGGCCCATGGATAGAGATAGGGGGGCCTTCAGAGGGGAAGGATAGAGGCCCGAGCTAAGGTCTGCATTACCCATCCAAGCCCAGCATAGAGGAATGGGGCAAAGAACAGAGGAAACGGGGAGAAGCAGGGAGGGGAGGGCCAGACCAGGCTGCGACACAGAGTAGAGCAAAGGCAGAGCTCACAGGTACGCTCCTTCATGCTTAGACACACCCCAACATTACAACATACCTCAGCATGCCCAGCATGGCTTCTACATGCTTCAACATGTTATAGACACACAAGCAAAGCACACCATCTACAAAGTGCCTTTACAGGGATCTAGGACACTGTGACTGCACAGCACGCTGATATTCCTGGGACATCTCACATGGACCAAACATGTGTTCACATGCGCTGACATGACATGACACAGCAACACTAGCACAGGCTGGGACAATCTGACTTGACCCTCAACATGTCCCACAGACTGGTCCCAGACACACTTAAATATAGATATAATCCCAGTAACATTCTAGATGTAGACTGTGTGTGAGCTGGACTTGGCTCCAGACATGACACAAATGCCCTAAGACCTGCCTCCGACAAGACACTCATAAAGTCTTGGCATTTCTCAGAACAATTCTGGCTCCCAGACCTCAGGCAAACGCAAAACGTGACCCAAACAATCTCAAGTGACATCTCAGACAATAACCAGACAAACCCTGACGTACCTCAAATGCCCTTGACTCCAGCAGAGTCCATTTCCTTGGATCCCAGCATAAACATATACAGGTGTAATCGAGTATAACAACATAAGAGCCCACTTGCAAACACCAGCACGGCGAGATGTGACCAAACAGCAGCCACCACACAGAGATACTCTCAGCATGAGGAGACATGAAGTCAGGCAGCTAGGAGCTCTGGTGAGACACACAGTGGTGTTCCCACCATAGCCCCTCAGACCAGCTCGCACATCACCTGCCCAGCTGGAAGCAGCACAGAGACCTCGGCAGTGGGCAAGCTATGGCCGGGGCATGAGTACCTGGAGCAAAGAGCACGGGCTTGATGAAGGTGGGGTGGAAGATGCGAATGATTGCATGCCAGGGCCCCACCCACCAGCAACACACATTCCCATAGGTGCTCGCCAGGCCCTGTGTGTACAGGAGACCTTCCTCTGAGCTCTGAATCTGGAGAGGAACACAGATAACTCAAGTCACACACTTCCAGGTGATCAGAGGCAGGATCCACAGGACAAAGACACAGACCTGAGCCAGTGAGTCCTCTCCAGCCACCTGTCATCTATTTTCAGCCCCAGCCTGGGTTGGCTCCCAGACCCCTTACACATAGCAATCAGGTTTCCTCAGCACGGGGACCAAAAGCATCTCTCCACATCTGGATCCCAAACACCACATTCACTTGAATTCTACCACCATTTTCCAGATAAGGAAACTGAGGCTCTGAATGAGAAGTCACTCATCAATAGTCCACCAGATTTTAAGAGGAACCCCTGAGATAAAAGACCCAGTCTGTCTGAATCCAGGGCCTGGATTCTTAACCATCGAATTCTTTGAGCCCCCAAAACAAAGCTCTGAGAACCCCGTGCTTTCCACAACTAGGCAATTAGAGATGCAGTGTCTGGTCCCATGACCAGGCCAGGCAAACTAAAGGAAATCCTGCAGTGTTTCTTGGAACTATTGGGAGTGAGTTCACTTTTCCATGAGGGTTGAGCTGCTGGGATTCATCTTTACCAGCATAAGAGTGACACCATCATGGAGAAACACAGAACTAGAACATGACAGATTCCTGGAGACATTGTTTGACACCTGGCTCCAGCCATGTCTGAAGAGAACCCTCCCAGGACCACCGTCAGTTGATTTCCTTGATTAACATTCTTTGCTTAGGACATACAGCGTTGAGTTTCCACCACTTAAGCTGTAGAAGACCTTGGCAGAAAGATCCGGGGACCTTCCCAGAGTCACCCAACATTTTTGGTGTTGGTGCCAATGCGTCAGACACTGTTCTCTTTCTCAGCTTAGTCTCTCTGGGGATGGTAGGGGCAAAAGACAAGGGAAGGGAACACAACTGGAATGGGGTCGCCTCAAGGAAATTTCTGGGGCCAGGAGCAGAAGGATGATAAACTTGATGTGAATGAGTCACAGGATGGGGTAGAAGGAACTGACCCACCAGAGCTAGACATCATGGAAACAGCAGCCCAGACCAGCCACCAGTCAAAACCCCTCATTGCTCTGGGCATGAGATGGGGTAAGACTGAGGGCTGGGTAGCAGGAGGTCTGGAATGCCAGCATTTCCCATCCTATCTCTCTACCCTCTGCTTTAAAAACTATATGTTCATTATTCCAGACACAGTTCCTGCAACTCCTCCTCCAGGAAGACTTCCAGCCTACCCCAACAGAAACCTTGCTTCTCTGGGTAGCCCCAGACCAGCTTCCTCTGGCCAATTCCTGATCCAGGTGGCTTATCTCTCTGTCCAATATTGGGGATTCCTCGAAGGGTTTGGATTGAGGTCTCACAGGGCCCCAGTGGTCCCCAGGACATTGGAGGGGTACCAATAGCAGTGGGAGCAAGGAAGAGACAGTGAGCTGGATGTTGGTGAATACATGAAAGCAAAAGGAAAATGATTGAGAGAGAAGAGGAGAGGAGGGGCCAGGGTCCTGCAGAAGTGGCACAAAGCTGGGGGTGGATGAACTGGAAGCTCTTGGATGTGACACAGTGCCCACCACCACAAGCTCTGCATGGGTACCTGAGGCATTGGTGACAGACCGGAACATGTCAGGGTGGCAGAGGGTGATGAGGGGGAGAATAGGGCCCAGCCACATCATAAATCCCTTCTGGAAGGTTGTCACCATCTGAGTTATGTTCCTCAACCCCTGCTCTGTGGGATTGACCTGCAAGCAAGGCAGGGTCCATCACTCTCCAGAAAGAACCATGACAGCTCCCCTTCAGCCTCTGCAGGGAACAGCATGTCCCAAGTCTTGCAAGGGTGGAAGAAACCTGTTTCCTCCTGCCTATCTCGTCTCAGGGCACAAGGACCTGGGGGTCTCTCTAAGCCTCAAGAGTACGTCACAGAGCTCAAGGTGAACACATGCTCTCTCCATACAGGGTAGCTGAATCTGACTCAAGAAGACAGATTTTTCTCATTCTGAGAGTGGTTCCAGCCTTGGGGGCAGCCACAGGAGAAGGTCCCCATGGGGGAGATTTCTGAACAGTAGAGCAGCCTCCAGATGTGTTCCTGGGACTTAGTCCCACATCATGTTCTGACATGAACAGTCCCCATGGCCTCTGTTTCCTCATATGGTGAAGGGTCTGCAGACCTGAGACCTGCCAGCCCTAGCCAACCCAGGTAAACAAAGGTGAAGTCTGACCATCACTTAAAAGGTGGCTCCCAACTGAGTATGAGCCCCTTTTGCCAGCCTGGTGGTGTTTCTCTTTCGCTCTCTCTCTCTCTCCCCTATAGCATCTCATCTATCTGTTAGTCCCTCCTAAATCTATAGACATACCCATCAATTGTGCCATTTACAAATAAAGGATGTGACGCCATGCTCACAAAGGGGAAGGAGGGTGGGCCCCCTCCTGTTGAGGCAGCCCCTCCAGTCCCCTGGGAGGCCCCCTCTGAGCCTGACAGACACCACCAGGTGCTGCGGGCAGGTGAGCGTCAGTCACTTTGGCCTTTGAGACAGCCTCCTTCTCCCCAAGGACCCTGAGGTGATGATTCAGAGCACTTGATGGGATTGGTCAAGAGAGGAAAAGTAACTTAGTCAAAGTCAAACTGCAAGGGAGACTGGAGGAGAGAATGAACAAGACCTGCCCCCATGGCCAAGCCTTAGAATAGGTGGTAGAACTGCAATGGCTGTAATATTCCCACTGCCTCCACAGCTTTCTGAGACTATTCCAAGACCCAGACTCTCAAAATACCTTCAGGATGTACTTGGAATGTCCTCATTTGAATTTTGCCATAATGCTCAGCTCAGCATTCGGCGTACTTGCTGTCTGCAAGTCTCAGGCATTATAGATACCATGTCTGCCCCTCAGAGCTGCCATCAAGTCAAAGAGAGCAATTTGATTCAGCATGAACAGGGTTAATGCAGAGGCCAAGGTCTGGGGCATGGGAGAGAGGCAGGGGAGTCAAAGAAACTCTCTTAAAGGGGAAGTGGGTGACTAAATTTTACCCAGGTTGGGCAATGGACTCATTGAGACATCATGAGGGTGGGGGCAGGGTTAGAGAGTAAGAAGAAGGTGTCCAGGAGAGGGGGAGAGGCGGGGAGCTGCATGTGCCTGTGGGGGTGAGGGCAGGGAGGTCACAGTGAATTCCTGTGGGAAACTGCAGCCCACAGAAGGCCAGACACAAGGAACTGGGCCAGATACAGACCAGGGACCCTGGACAGCACCCTGGATGTGGGCTCAAGTCTAATAATGGAGACTGTGACCCCAGGGCATCGGCTCTGTAAAGGCCCTCAGTGTTGCACTAATGCGGGCAAGAAGGACAGAAAATAATACCAAGCCAGCTAGGTGTGGGAGGTCAAAGGCATGGGAAAGGCCTGGGGTGGAAGATGAATGAGTGAGGAAAGATGCCCCCTGAGGCCTCCCTTGCTTCCCAACTGCCTGAGACCCCAGACCCCATCCCTAACTCACTGAGCCCCACTCCAACTCCTCAGGAAGTCCATCTACCCTGACAACCCGACCTGTCCTGCCACCACACTCACCAGGCCCAGGTGACCCAAGAACCAGTTCCTCCTTGGGGGCTGTGGGAAACACCGAAGGCGACAGCAGTTGTCATAGAAGGCATAGATGCGGGCCAGGACTCGGGCCAGGAGCCAGGAAGCCGCCAGCAGCAGCAGGAGCTGCCAAGGGGAGGCCCACAGCGACCCGAGCCCCAACCGGAACAGGCTCAGCTGCGGCATCCTGTGGGGCACACCGGGTAAAGGGTGAGCACCTGTGGCCTGGGAGGCCTTGTGATGTGAGCTCAGAGGCAGAGGCAGGGGTAGTTCACATACTAAGAGAGGGCGAGGGCCAATGGAGTGAGGGACAGGGACAAAGTAGGATAGGGAGAGGCAAACTGGGGATCATAGAGGGTAGGGAGATACTGGGAGCTTCAGAAGGGAGATGGAGAGATGGAGAGAGAGACAGATAATTACCCATGGTGCCCACACATCTCCCAGATCAGCTCACTCTGTAACCACCCCTGCCTTGGGCAGGGTCCTTCCCCACCCCAGGCCAGGAGCCCCAGCCCCCTCTACCTCCAGGCTTGTACCTTTTGCTGGACCGGCTTGTCCCACGCAAACTCCTCTCCCCTCCTTTTGGGAAGTCCTTTGCCCTTGGCCCCTGACAGTCTTTGCCCTGCCCCTGCTGGCAGCACTGAGCTAAGCCAGCCAATCCCCACAGGCCAGATTCTCCTCCCCATTGGGCAGCCATCCAAATAGAGGGGGGGAGGGGGCTGCAATGTTGTCAAGGGTCACATGGCCTGGGCAATGGATCCTTAGGATTCAGAACCTCTCATGTGGGCTTGGGGGCATCTTGGGCATCAGGGCTGGACAGCAAAAGTGATTCAGGGGCCCCAAGTTTAAAGCTACCCCTTCCCTTCCAAGACCAGAGCTCAGCATGCACAAACATGAAATTGGCAAGGTGCCAGATAAGTAGGACCAGGCCTAGCCTTGTCCCAAAACATCTCTAAGTTCCTCTCCACTCGTGGGCCAGGAGGATGCCATGCATTTCTCAGTGCAGAATGGGAAGCTCAGAGGCAGGAAGCCTCTGGCCTCCAGGGTGCACCGTCTGGCAGGGGTTCAAGTCCCATCTCCAAGCTGCCCAGGGCCTCCTCCCAGAACAAAGAAACCAGCCTGGCAGGGGATTACCCGCATCAGATTCTGGGGATAAAGGACCAGGAGGAAGAGGGGGCCTGCTGCGGGGCATGGCTCACTGTGGAGAAGGATTAGAGAGGAGAGGGCTGTATGAAAGGGGGTTGAAGTGGTGAGGTACCAAAGGGCCATGACAGCACAGGACAAGATCAAAAGAAGAGGGTCAGGCTGGGAGACACTGAGGGGGCCCATTTCTGCCTACAGCTCACTCTCACTGTGGCTGAGCCAGCCCTCTCTGGCCTGTCTTCCCATCTGGGTAATGGGATGTCAGAAGAGTGTCAAAAGGGAGGCTCCACAGAAGGAGGAAAGGATAAGGAACCCCCAAGAAGAGGGAATGAAGGAAAGGGGCTGGCAACGAATATTGACCACTGTATGGCAGTGCTCCACAGAAAGTAGACCAGCTCTGTGCAGGCAACTGTAGGAAAAGCATGCCCATGGCACTTTGGGGACCTTGTAGAGCATGCCCTCAGTGTGGCAGGAACTCTACATGCTTTATGCAAATTATTTTATGCAAATCATACCTACTCTGTGCCAGATAATCTACATAATGCATGCCTACTGTATCCTACAGAAGACATACTTATTGTATGCTAGGTATTCTCCATAAAACAAGCCTACTGTGTTCTGGGCACTCTACCTAAAGCATGCCTACTATGTACCAGTGCACTATACAAACACATCCGTGTGTACCAGGTACTTTACATAAAGCCAACCTACTGTATGGGGGTGGTCTACATAAAATAAACCTACTCTAACCTGCTCTATGTAAAGTGCAAAGTACTTTACAAAAAGTGTACCTACTATGTGAAAGATCTTCTACATGAAGTGTACCTACTGTGTGCCAGATATTCTGCAGCCAAATAAATATCACGTCCCTCTCAGCTCCCTGGGTCAGTGCACTAGGGATTAGTCTGAGAACCAGGCAAAAGCACCACAGGAAGGAAGATGATACCCACTCAACAGAAAATCAAACTGAGGCTCAGAGAAGGCAAGCCACTAGCCCAGACTGCAGAGCCGCAAAGAACCCAAGTCTGTATATTCCCAAGTCAAAACCCTGCCTCCCTGCCATGCTACTCCTTCCCACTCATAAGGGACAATGCTATCTCAAGCAAAGCACTCATCCCAGAAGGGAGATCTCTCTCCCACATTCAGGATGCACCACCACCCCACTGGTCTAGTGTCCCCAATGCTCCCTTGATCCTGCCTGTATTGCTTGATGGGATAATCTCAGGTGAGACAGGGAATGTGACTGCGGGTAGAACAGGGGCTTTGCAGAGCCCCTGAGCAGGAATGTGGGAGACAAACAGTCCTCCCTGCACTGGGGGAGACTTCAAAACTCTCTCTCTCTCTCCCCTTGGCCAGGGGATTCAGGCAGCTACTCCTACAGCCCTCAGTGTATGGGTGCATGAACCCTCCATGGCCTTCCCCCCCTCCACAGTAGCAGACAGCTGTTAGCAGGTCTATCCACATTAAGATTGGACGCAAGGCCAAAGTGATAAACCAGACAGAGGAGAGCCAGGCCCTCGTGACTGCATGGGCTTAGCTCACTGCCTACCTACTGCGTGTCAGGAATGGGCAGGCAGACCAGAGCAAGAACAGCAACCACTATCAGCCTTTGCCAGCCCAGCCACTGAATTTTTTCAGGTCTTTTACATGTATTGGCATTTTTACTTTTCATTTTACTGAAGAAGATATTGATGGGAAAATCTATTTGAGTGACTTGTCCAAAGTCACAAGCTTGTGGCACCAGGCTGTCACCAGGCAGCGGCAGTTCATACCAGGTACCCTGGACCTCTGAGCTGTGCTCCTCCACATCAGTAAATCTCATTAATGCCACCTTACCAGGTGGTGGGGATAGCTTGAAAAAGACGATGCGTGTAAACTCACAGGATGGAGGAGGGCTCAGCAGTGTTAGCCATCATTATTGCTCTTGTTGTTCTGTAACCATCCAACAGCCGTGCAATTTCATGTCATCACCCCTTTTAACAGAAGAGGAACCGGAGATTCAGAAAAGTGAAGCAATGTGCTCAGTCCCATAGCAAACGGGTAAATATAACAACCAGTACAGGTGACAGCAAAGCCGGGTACATAGTAGGTACACATAAAAGATCTAGGGAAGTGTGAGGTTTGCAGCCATGAGTTCTAAAGTTCTCGGTCTTCCACCATCAGTATCGCCTGACAAGTGATTCTGCAGAAAACGTGGAATCTCATGCTCTCTATCCAGAAACGCTGACTCAGAATTGCATTCTTATATAACTAGATTTTTGGTGGTGGGTATAGTGTGGCATATACATTTGTAAGGTGTGAACCTGTATTCCCAAAACACATAGTACTGTAAACCAGTAGTATCTCAATATTAAGACAGAGAGAGAGAGAGAGAGAAAGGCCAAAAGAATAAGCTAAAAAATACTGAAAGCTGTTGCCTCTAGGAATACAGAAATTGAAAAGAAAACTTGAAGACAATAGTAGTAGATTTCATGAGAAATCTTGCACTGCTTAATTTGCAAGCAATGGTGACTGATTGAAATAAAAACAAAGTTTGAAAAAATGAGAAAAAGATTGCATCCCACCAGGGAATAGTTTTATGCTCCTGCAAGTTTTATAAATCATGTCCTTGTTCCTTGGACGCCTGCACTGTGACTGCAGGAAGCCTCAGGTGGGGCCTTCTCTCCTGAGCCTGAGGACGCTGAAGCGTCACAGTGAGGAATGCCCCAGCTGTCAGATCACACAAGCCTGACTTGTGGGGGGGCCACAGTCAGTGTTGTAGGACAGGGGGCCTGGCAAGGAAAGGCAGAGACTGGTCCCTCCCAAGGGGCCTTCCACACTTCCCATAGCTGGCCAGTGGCTAAGTGTGTGTGACACCAGCCTCTGGCCCTCTCACGAGCCCTCTGACCCCCAGGGTTCACATCTGTAAAATGGACCTGATAACGCTTCCCAGAGCTTTGGGGGATTTTATCAGACACAAGCAAGGGGAAAGTAGGACTCATTTACATATAAAACTTATGAATGTGTGTTTCTATGTGGGGGTATGTTTGCATATGATTGAAAACGTGCAGAAGAATCCACACACCACAGATGAATTGGAGGAAATAGAATTGCAGTCTTTATCCTTTTAACTTGCTACACATCTCTAATGCTTTTTCTGCTCACTAAGCTGCTACAACATTATCACTAAAAAACTCAACTTGAGAAAACACCAAAAAATTTAAAAAAAAATAACAATTTGTCACAGTTGTGATAGGGGAAAAGAATAGAAAACAGAAACCTGGCTCATGCAAAGCCAAGAGTTGAAAGTGGGGGTAGAAGTTATTAACATAGTTGTTAAACTAGCTATAAAATGAAAAATCCTTAAGTGCCAATGTCTAAATCAGGAAGCACAGACCCAAGCAGGTGTCAGACTGCTGTAAAGAGTGTCAGGGAGGACCTCCCTGGTGGCGCAGGCGGTTGAGCGTAGCGCTGTGAAGCTGTCCGCAGCCTCTGCAGTGCCAGTTCGATTCCCACCGGCCTCAGAGCAACTCACGTGATGAGCAGACCTCTCCTGTCTCGCCCACTGCTCCCCTCAGCAGTGTATTTTGTCAGTCTGCCTGTTCTGTTCCCCACTCTATCTCCGGTGAGTCCTCTCATGCTCCTGAGCATCTGGCCTGTACCCCGGCTCTTGTATAAATAAAAAAATTTTTATAAAAGAAAAGTTTAAAAAATAAAAAAGAGTGTCAGGGAGGTGAGGATATGGAGATTGAGGTGAGGATATGGAGATTGAAGACCATTATAGAATCTCTGGTCCTTTTTCAAATTCTACATAGTTATTCAAAATCAACAAAATGAACCACTCCACAAAGGAACGAGCCGCTCCCAATGATAAGACTATATCAGGGCAATTTCTGCACTGGCAAGAGACGCAGTCCTTCTACCCACCTGTGACCACGTGGGTACTTGCTTCTTTTTGTAACAGGGTGGTCTCCAGGAAAAGGGGAGTTTCCAGGTTCCCTGCCCCACCCAAAAAAGGTTGGAGCTAAGCAGGGAGAAGAAGGAGCTGGAAAGGAGACTGGAGGAGGAAGGAAGCAGGATGGAGAGCAAGGAGACTTGCAGGAGGCACATGCAGCAGGGAGACAAGTGAAGAAACTATGCTTGCCTTTTGGTCCTGGACTGGTTAAAACAGATGTGGGTGAGAGACCAGTGGAGAGGTTAACAATAGAAGCTTTCATCTTGATTTTGATTTTGCTCTTTTCCTCCCATACTTGTCTGGATGTTTCTGATCCTTTTCTATGGGTGCCTGCCAGAAAGTGCTTTAGATTTGTGGCAGGCTTTTAGGCCTTGCTCTGGGCCAATCCTGTTTGGGTGGACTTTTACCCACAAGGGGACGAGTAACTGTGGGTCCTTGATTTAGAAACTCTGTTCTTTGTCTTTTCTGTA